GGATCCAAAGCTGGGAATGTACGGCTTGAGGCTTCGGGTTTGATGGATGCAGAGGCCGTCATGTTTTCTTCTGATCGGGTTGTGGGCTCCTTTATAGTATACTTATAACAAGGAGCCCTTTAGGGGGCCCTTTAAGGACTCTTGGCTGACTTCTGAACCCCTCCTAGCAGTTCAACTTTTAGCCTCCTTATTATAGTTCATGTAGAAGCCCAGGAAGCTAAAGTCCTAAGAGCCAACCAGCAGAACGCCAAGGAATACTATGGAAAATTATGTAGGCTAAACCCTAAACCCTAAACCCCAAACCCAAAACTCTAAACCGTTCCTGTTTGAGTCGTAGCCATGAGCTTTACCGACGGCGACTGAGTTCCAGGGCCCCTACACAAAAAACACCCGTTGAATGTAGGAGCCTTAATAGTTAGAACAGGGTTTTGGGGTATATTTAAACTATACATATACTAAGTAACCCCCCCCCCAAAAAAAAAAAGTATTGGTAATTATTTCGGCCCCCATATTAATCCTGGAGCCTTGTGCCCTAAACTATCCATATCTTACTCTCTGTAGGTTCTTCGACCGTCGAACCTAGGGGGGGCTTACAGAAAGGAACATGTGTCCGTAGCCTAAGCCCTAAACCCTAAAACCCTAAACCCTAAACCCTAAAACCCTAAACCCTAAAACCCTAAACCCTAAACCCTAAAACCCCAATCCCTAAACCCTAAAGCCCCAAACCCTAAACCCAAACTAAACGCGAAGACGCCAGGCTTACCGACACAGCTACCGGCACAGCAGCCCTAGGCCTTGATATGGGTTTAGGATTTAGGGCCTGAGGATGGGAGGGGACACCCTAAAGCTTCGGGTTTTAGGGTTTAGGGTTTCAGGGCTTAGGGTTTAGGGGCTAGGGCTTTAGGGTTTTAGGGTTTAACTTGGACCCCGACGACCCCAAAACAGGGCCAATGGCACGGCACTCCACTGCGGCTGGCGGACGGGGCTCTCTCCTAAACCCAAACCCTAAACCCTGAACCCTAAACCCTAAACCTAAACCCTAAGCCCTAAACCCTGAACCCTGAACCCTGGAGGTTGTGTCATGACCAGGTCCAAGGACGAGAGAGGTGCATCCTTTTCCAAGCCAGGTGGATGCCGTGGCTGCCTTCGACGGTGGCTGTGGGCCCTGATCCTTCCCTGCTCTTTTTGGGGGATTTCGGGCGCTGGCGGCTGTGGCGCCTCCGTTTGTGACCCTGCCTTCGAAACCCTACAGTCCGTGGCTCCCAGCACTGTGCTTAGGGTTTAGGGTTTAGGGTTTAGGGTTTAGGGTGCTTCCCACTCTGCTGATGCGAGGTCTGCCTTCCAAAACCAATGGTCAAAGAATGCTCGGATCACAAGGCGAAATCCAAGGCCGCGCCATGGAATGACAAGGGATTCGGCGGCAGTGAAGCATGTGGAAACAGAGGCGTCGCAGGAGACGAATGGGTGGCGTCCGCAGGATCACTCGCTCCCAAACAGGGCCTGTGACGTTTCAGGGCCTTGAAGCGCCTCTGGGACGCGTCATCCATGTCTGGCACTTTGGCACGAACCTGTGGCTCACGGCGGGGTCTGCAAATCTCCCTAAACCCAAAACCCTAAGGCTCACGGCGGGTCTGCAAATCGATGATGTAAGGGCCTTAATAATTAAGATAGTGTTAGGGGTTCCTGTAAAGGGTTCCTGAAGGGCTCGATAAGGGCTACTATAAGGGTTTAGGGTTTTAGGGGCTTTAATAACTAGAATAGGGCTTTGGGGTATATGATACTATATCTATAATAAGGAGCCCCCAAAACGTATAGGTTCTTATTGAGGCCCCTATGTGTAGAGGCCTAGATGATTACGAATATTATTTTTAGTGTTCCCTTTTATAGATATACCTGCAAAGGAGCCCCAAGCCCTATTCTATTCACTAAAGCCCCTATAGTAACTCAACACGTTTGGATCACATAGGATTTCGCCAGCTTTTGTGGCCTTAAGCTGATGCCCTAAACCCTAGCCCCAAACCCCAAACCCTAAAGCCCTAAACCCTCAACCCGAAAGCCCTAAAGCCCTAAAGCCTAAAGCCCCCAAACCCAAAACCCCAAACCCCAAAGCCAAAAAAAAGCCCTAAACCCACCCGAATATCACAAGCTGATGCCGGAAACGCACAGAATAAGGGACAATAGGAGGGACCCCTAGAAGGGACCCCTAATCCAAATACCCTATATAACCCTTATATACCCCTTATATAGTCTCATAAAGCCCCTATATATCCCCAAGGGTCCCTTCCCTAAACCCTAAACCCTAAACCCTAAACCGCCCCAAACCCTAAACCCCTTTAAGGATCCCTCCTTTTAGCCCCTTGACAGAAACAAAAGCGATTCAGGCCCCAGCCATCCCTAGGCCACCCAAAACTCGAAGCCGTAAACCAAACGGTTTAGGGTTTAGGGGGTTTAGCGCTTAGGGTTTAGGGCTTAGAGTTTAGGTTTTAGGGTTTAGGGTTTGGGGTTTAGGGTTTAGGGTTTGGGGTTTAGGGTTTAGGGTTTAGAGTTCAGGGCGTAGGGTTTGGGGTTGCCCTGGCTTTCCACCAGAACTCCTCCAGATAGCTGTGCAAATTCTTGAACTCCCTCACTTCGGGAACCTGTGATGCTACCAAGATCAGATCAGGGTATTCGCTTTAGGGGTTCAGGGTTTAGGGTTTGGAATTCAGGGTTTAGGGTTTAGGGCTCTGGGCCAATAGTGTTAGGGACTGGAACTCGCAAGAAAGCAGAAGAGGCCAATCCTTACAAGCGGGCTTGGGTCTACTTAGGTTAAGGGTTTAGGGCCGTCGACATAGCCCAGACATATCCTAAATCTTTGTGGGGAGCCACAATATACTGTAGTTGTAACCCTGACTAAAAAACACTAAACCCTGAACCCTAAACCCGTAAACCCTAAACCCTCTTGAGGCTTTGAAGTCGCTCGAACTTAGGGGTTTAGGGTTTTAGGGTCTAGGGCTTTAGGGGTTTAGGGTTTTAGAGCTTTAGGGCTTTAGGGGTTTAGGGTTTTAGGGTTTAGGGCTTTAAGGTTTTAGGGTTTAGGGGTTTAAGGTTTTAGCACTTGGGGACATATGCACGGTTTAGGGTTTGGGGTTCAGGGTCGAAGCGGTCTTTGGGCCTGGACGCCTGCACATACGAGTCCTCGCACCCGAACAAAGACCCGTAAACACCCGGCCCAGACCCCTCAACTTTAATATCTCCAAACCCCAAAACCAAAAAAAACCCAACCCCCCAAACCATCAACTCTAAACCGTGAAAGTCTTGAAGAACCCTTATAGAAACCCTGATTCCCTGTAGAAGATTAAGTTTAAACCTTCAAGGATAACGTGTGAAAACCAATCAATCCTCCACCCTAAACCCTAAACCCTAAATCCTAAACCCTAGATCGCTAAAACCGGCCTGTGTGTCGCCACTCTGCTCCAAACCTCTGCAGATACGGGGGGGCCGACTCTTCAAGGGCTGTGAGTTTTGGTGTGTAGGATTTAGGCCGGTTTAGGGCTGAGGGGCTTTAGGGTTTAGGGTTTAGGGGTTTAGGCCGGTTTAGGGTGTAGGGGCTTTAAGGTTTAGGGTTTAGGGTTCCTCTGGGACGTTGTGGGTTTAGGGCCAGGGTCTATAGTCGATGGGTTTAGGGTTGAAGCTTCTAGGAAGAGGGTTCTATGATCGCCTACGGGTTTAGGGTTTAGGTTTTAGGCTTGCGGGATGTTTTGAGTTTAGGGCGTAGGGAGAAGGTATGGCAGATTGGAGCTCCCCATGCTACTTCCTTCGGGGATACACCCTAATAGACCAGGGTTTAGGGTTCAGGGGTTTAGGGTTTAGGGTTTGAAGGCTTTTGATTATTTTGTTCGATGGATTTTGGAAGGATTGTAGCGTCGTATAGGTCACTCCTCTCGGGTTTATTCAGGGCTTTGCCAAACACCGCCTAAGCTCTGCAGAACCGTACGCACAAAGCCATGTGCGAACAACATGGCGAACTTCAACTCAAGTCTCGACAAGTCGCAGACACTCTGCAAGCCGCTTCAGGGCCTGCAAAATATCTTTGAGAAGCACTGTTTGCAAACAAGTGTGCAGCATCCCTTTAAAGACGTAATTCCCGGTCCTGACGAAATACCCGCAGGGTCCGTACTCAAGTCGTACACGGGTCTTCAAGTACTGCCTACTTGGTATGTTTGAAGCCGAAGTATCATCTGTCTGAGTTTTGAGACCCCATACAATCCTGTAGACTGTAGTAGAAGCTATCAAACCTGATGGTGAACCCTCTTGAATCAACCATGTAAAGCCCGATGCAAACGCTCAAAGCAGCATATTACCGCTGTAGAAGCAAGTCCCCCCTAAACCCTAATCCCTAAACCCTAAACCCTAAACCCTAAACCCTAAACCCTAAACCCTAAACCCATTCTTATTATGGTGCTGGGGACCTTGGGGCCTTAAAAGGCACCCTATCTTGGAGAACTACTCATATAACGGCCCCTAACTTAGAAAACCTACTGTAGAGTTTAGGGTTTAGGGTTTTAGGGTTTAGGGTTTAGGGTTTAGGGTTTAGGGTTTAGAGGCTTTAAGAAATGAGAATAGGGTCTTGGGCCTCTTTATAGTACATTTACAATAACGAACCCTGAGAATAGTGGTAATTACTTGGGCTTCTATACTACCCATATACCCATAGGCCCCATAGTAGTTCAATTTGGGGGTTACCTTGTAGGATTCTATATATGAACCCCAAAAAGGAACTACTTTAGGGCCTATGGGTAGAGCTTACGACCGGAACACCGAACTTCTTTGGCTTAGTTGTGGGGGCCCTAATGACTAGAACTCATGGGGAATTGGGGTATTTTCTACTATTATACTATCAGTATAACAAGGAACCCCAAACTAGTAGAATGGGGCATAACAAGCAAACACCAAAATAGCATTGGTAGTTATATAAGCCGCCCTATAGTATAAGCATGGTACCCAAAAACACTGGGAGAGTCTGCAGCAGCCGAAGCGCTTTGCGGGGCAAAGGGCGACGAGCGGCCCGATATCTCGCGCCAGGTGGCCTTGGGGGGGTTCTCAAGGGCTTAGGGGCTTTGGGGTTCAGGGTTTAGGGTTCAGGGTTTGGGGTCGGGTTTAGGGCTTTAGGGTAGGGGTTAGGGCTTTGGGGTTGATAAGATTTCGGTGTTTCAGGTTTTGTTTCTTAGAGGTTCAGAGGCTAGGTCCAGGTGTCAGCCTGATATATTTAGGAGTTAGGAGTAGGAGCAACGTTGTTTGGGGATATGGACCCTCTCATTAAGGTCCCTTTCAAGAGAGCCATAAAGTAGGGTTAGGAAGGGTCCGCTCTAAGGGGTCATGCTTCCTCAGAATGTTCAAGATTTCAGCTGTCTCGATTCGAGCCCTTAGCGGCACGCCCTAGGAGGCGAAGGCCTCTTGTCTACCACAAGTCTAGGAAGCCCAGTGGCAAAGTCTTCGCGGAAATGTCGCTGGATGGCCAGCCTTAGGTTCTCCGAGCTTCATGCAGGGGCTTCAGGGTAGGTATCTAAACAGGCACGCTCAACTGCTGATCAACGTGTCGTTGAAGATTGCGCTTCCCTGCATGTTTGTCACATGCTGTTGATGGCGGCTGTGCCGGCGACACCAGGTAGAAGTCACAACAATACTAGCCGTGGCCGCAGCCGCAGCATCAGCCGCAGTAGTAGCACCTGATATAAGTAGTACTCGTGGTGGTCGTCGTTGTTTTCGAATCCTTCGTCATCGTGGTAGTAGTAGTAGTAGTAG